TTTGGAGTCTTAAGGGTGGAAGACTCCTTTTAAAAGGCACACGGGGTTCCAGAAGGTTTGGTTCTCTAACAATGCACCTCCCCAAGCCAGTCTGGGCAATGGGCGTCCCGTAACCATGGCAAAAGGCCCTTTGGCGTATTTTGGCGCAGTGAATGAATGGACTGATGGTTGGGGAGAGAAGGTGAGTTAGGTGAGGTGTTCGGGATTGTGATGGGGTCTTTGGCGTCCGTCACGCGGGGTTGGAGGTTTGTGGTTATGTGGGTGGATACGCGCGAAGTGTGGTTTTGAGGAGGTGGGAGTTTTGCTGGGGAGGCGAGGTGATGGCAGTATGTTCACGGCATTGGCAGTAAGGTGTAAACAATAGTGCTCTTGCATTTGTGGCTCCTTAGAAAAGGAAACCCTGTATGGTCAGGATGGTGTACTTTAACAATGTTAGTTGCTCATTACATAGTATAGCCTAAGGCTAGTGTGAATCTATTTAAGGGGGTCTTGATGGGGTTTGGAATTGTTAGACCGCGCAATGGGCGGCAGGAGGTTGCGATTGAATGCCTTCTTGGGGGTTCTCGGTGACGAAATGTGAGAGAAGTCTGGATGGGAGTCTCTTTGGTCTCTTGTGTGTGGGTATTAGTGGGTGGTTAGGTGCTCTGAGGGCTGGTGTGTTTTTTGTCCCGCGCGGTGGTCATTTCTGATAGTTTATTCACAGGGATTATTCTTTGAGGCAGAGGAGAAGAGATTGTATTTCGTGTAACTTCGTGAAAGTTGAGCACTCCAGATTCAAAGGTCCAGATTCAGAGGCGGTATGAGTCCGATGTCCAGCGCAGCCCTCCGCAACTTCTTGGGGATCCAGCATGGAGTTCTGCCAGAAAACACAGAGCCAATTGTTGCTGTATGGACATTCTGCCTCAAAATCAAACATGCGCTTAGCCCTGACGGGATTCCATCGCCAGTAACTGCAGAGACAGGATCCACGGTTACACGCTCTCGATGATTACATTGTCAGCTTTCCTATTGCTGTTTGTCTATACGACGACAGTCTGGTCTCCTTGCAACCTGACCTGGATCTGAAGATGGCTTACTATGCGGTTGGTCACTTGTGTGTCTGCTGGTCTTCTAGAGTTAGAAGCTGTCCAGTGACGCTCGCGATTTAGAAAATTGTGGTCTTACTTTTCATGGCACCCAATGTATATCAGAGCCATGTGGATGACTGAATCTAGTCTCCTCTCAAGCTTCTCAAGCTACCCACTCCATAAGGTAGCCCATGATCATTACCCCGCCTGACGCCTCTTTATGTTTGCTGATGCTCATCCCGGGCGCTTCAAAGGGTCGTGCCGGAGTGTCATGGGACTTGTTCGTTTACTTGATGCATAATCTTGCATGTGGTGCTGGTCAAAAGATGAAGTTGAGCAGGGGCGCGATCCACATGGTCATACTCACAGGAACATTTCTTGCCATGTAGGTTTTAGTGGGATGGACAACACAGGTTAGATTCGGTTCGAAATGCAGCTTTTGTCATCTATTCGTTCTTGTAATGGTAAGATGCCTCAGTTTCCAAGGGCTATCTCAGTAGCAACGTGCGAGTATTCAAAACGCCCCCGGAGTTATATGTGACTATGCTCGCTCGAACACGAAAGAACACTTCCTAGCAGGGAGGTCTGATTTTGCGGTACTCAGACCAAACAATCCTGTGTGGCCTCTCTTCGTCATCCCACGGGACGAGGTCCTCTTCTTTAACCTCCTCAGGAGAGGCAAAATCATCCTTCCAACCGCCTGGAATGCTCAAGACCGGATTTTCAACCATGTGCCAAAAGTGTCCGGCGTATTCCAGGCCATAGAAGGACCACCATACTTTCCACTGTTCAGGTAATGCCCCGTAAGTGATCCCAACAAGTCTGAAATAGGTATACCGATGACCCGTCTCCTGAGGCGTCCGTGGGATTCTTCCTTCTCGATCATAAAAGCTGGAGCATCTTTCTCTGTGGCCATACTCCAAAAGGTTGACACCATTGGCGTACAAGATCTTTACCCAAGACCTTATAGCTGACTGCAAGAAGCAGTCGAAGGTCTGAGTAGAATGTGAACGAAACTTCGTCATTATGATACAGAGCATCATGACAAGCGATGTCACCTTCCCAATTGTATTTGAATTCTCTGACAAATCTTCCGGTTTGACTTTTGCAATTTCATCGAGAACGTGGTGATAACTGCCTTCCGTTGAGAGATGGGGTAGTTCGCCGTTTGATTCCAAAATCTCCCAGCCTACTCCGAACCCAACCAGATGCGAAAGAGCGAGCGTCTCTTCTGACATGATCCAGAAAGAATCGATCAACTTAGTGCTGACAGATCCAACTTCTGGTAGTAAGCACAAGATCTCTCCGAAAGTACAGTACTTCCTCATCAACAGTCTCCAGCAATGCCACAGCCTAGATGGAAACGGTGCTGAGGGCAACTGAGGACTCGTGATCTTTTGAATCTCGCGACACTGCTCGAAGGTTCTATCAAACATTATCAGGTACCATATTTTATCATCTTCTTCAGCGATGTCTGGCGTGTAGTCCATAAGAATCCTTAACATTTGGGCATTACGTTCGAGTATCTCGGAATCCCAGGGACCAAACAGCAGCCGTTCCAGTGGAGTCCTTGAAATTCCGTCAGCCTATCGAGATTCATATTGCAGGGGATCTTGTGTCGCTCACCGGGCTATGATTGTTACTGAAACCTTACTTCTCGGTGTTTCTGACCATTCACCGAAGGATCCAGGGTATAGACCGGCGTGCAAAAGCCAGCGCGATATCTCAACAGCGCCATTTTTCACAGCATACTTTTGAGTGGATATTGGTGAGCAAAACCCTCAAAGCAAAAACTCTGGTTTGAAGAAGAAATGGCAATTCTTCGGGTGTACTTACTATCAGGAGGTTCCAGGCGTCTTGGTCATGAACATACGGGGTCAACTTTGCTTCACGAAGACGTCTCTGCAAGTCGATAACATCATCATTCTCCACGGCCTCTATAACGCCATTTGGGATCTCATCTACCACCACGTAAGATGATAAGTTCAACTGCCAACCTGACACACTCTGCTGGGCCATCACAGAGTACACGGTGTTTCCGAGCCAATTTGGGGTGCGAATGGAAATGTGACAGCTTTGATTGCCGAGACCAAACAGAAGTCTGCCGAGGAGGGCGGTGCCTTTGGAGATTGCCGTGAAGTCTGGCTTGGAATGTTTTGTAAGATATGACTTGCTGAGTCTAAGAGACTCAGAAGTATCGTCTACCGGGGTCGAGAGATCATCCGATTGAATTTCGACCGTGTCGGCGTCGGACGCCTGCAGAGGCGAGAGAAGTCGTCGGGCGTTTATAGAAGCACATGTCTTGCTAAACAAGTGTCCAAAGTCAGCGTCAGCGGAGTAAAAATCATTTGCAAGGGCCTCACAAGATGTAACGGCTCTCAGCCATTCTGTAAAGTCGCAGAGCATTATCGAGTTTCCGCTCCATCGCTATCAGACTCTCCTTGTGAAGGACAACTTTAGCGGCTGTAAGCTTCCGCCTATGTCGTCGTTTGTCGGCAAGACTGCGATTATGCGCATCTAGAGTCATTTGTAAATCTTGCATCGCAGCGCGAGCTCTGCTCATGGCCTTCTGCATGATGGCATCGTTCCATGCCGGGGTCGGCAGCGGGTTGTTGGCAGCGTGGATCTCGTCATCGCGGAGAATTTCATCGAGATATTGGAGCTCTTCCGCCTTTTCTAGAAGAGCGGCTGGCACGTCTTTGACTTCGTCCCAGAGACATTTGAGCTTGAAGGATAGGGTGACGGCTTTGCCCGCCAGGTCAATCACGGCGATGACGCTGGCTGCAGTACCGAGAGCTTCTGCCATGACGATAATAGAGTCCGGGTAAAGTCGATGCGCGATTGAGGAGTGTTGCGATTCGAGTGGGATGAAGAGGGAGAAATCGCCCGAGTTCATCAACGTTACGGGTCGTACGGGTATGCCCACAGCCTGATCTGCCACACCTCCATGCTGGGCAGGGCTGCATGTCAGCAGGCGGAGTATTGGCTTAGGACCATCGCCCCCATGGTCATCTGGTACTCATGCATATGCAAGTCGACTGCGCCGAAGAACAGCTGCGGAAATCATTGATGTCGACTCTGGGGGGGTCTTTTGTCACTGGCTTTGCGCGATTGCATGGCCGCTCAGCCGGAGCGGAACCAGTTGCCTGCCCATCTGTGGGATACGCCTAGCTTAGGAGAAGCGGCTTGCTGGGTGTTTTTTTGCGAAAACTCATCTCCCAGACTTGCAGGACTTCGTGGAATTCTTCGCCTTGCGCCGCAGCTCAGCATCTGACGGCCTAATAGACCCCGAATCCGCGATCCCCGACAAGACTCCTGATTGACTTGCCATTTTGAGGCCGTTCCCATTGCCAGTGGTAGCCGATCATGCTTCAAATTCTGAAATCACTCAATGGTTCTTCGGCTCAGGCACATGGTATTCACAAGGGCGTCTTGCTGTCTTCGACACCTCTTCTAGACAAAACGTCTCTCCAACACCCCCGTCTTCAAGCGCATAAATCAGGTCAATTAGACAACGACTCGCATCTCCCCTCCAAAACTCGGCACTCAATCGTCGCTTGAACTACTTTAAATATGCCGATGAATGATGCTTTAATCACTTTCAGCTACGAAAGACTTTTGCTCTTCGAGCGGATACTAGTGGTCTGCTTGGTTAGCCGGAACAAGCTCGCGGCTTCGCCAAGACGACGGGCGAAACAAAAGAGGGCTTATCTAGAACCATCAAGTTAAGGAACAAGGACCAAGTCGTTATCTTAGAGAAATATTTACTTTTTTGGAACGAACGAGTAGTTTCAGCCCACCTGAGATCGACTTCCTAGGTTGTTGTTCGCCGTACCGCACCTATGCGTGAAGCTCGACCGCAAAACCAGACTGTCCCACAAACCAACGCAGGAAGCCCGTCTGACGTCTGGAGCTAAGCATGATTAAAGAAATTCAACTCGGAGGCCTTATCTTGCGATATTCCGACCAAATAAACGGGACTCTCTCATCATCTTCATCGTCATCCTCATCGTCAAAGTCATCCATCCAACCCCCCGGAACATTGAAGCCAGAGGAATTAAAATTTGAACCTTCCACCAAATTCCAAAAGTCTGCAGCGTAATTGTTTATATTTGGAGCCCACCACAGCTTCCACTGCGAGGGCAATGAGCCGTATGTGATTCCGAGAAGGGAGCAGGTGTAAGGGATCCCCGTCATGTACCCCTCTGAGTCTTCACGCGAAACGGTCTTTCCTGATACGCACCAACCAAGCTTTTGGTAGTAATTCCTCTCTCTGCGACCATAATCCAAGAGATCAATGCCGCTGACGTGAAGAATGGTCGCCCAATGTGTGATTGCTGACCGAAGAAGCTGATCAAGGACTTCGGGCGGATTCCAGGAAAATAGGAGTCGCCGGAGAAATATGTATAATGGTGTGGCTCCAGTCATGCCTAAGAAATCGCCTTCGTGACGAAATGTGATGTCTTCCGGGTCGACGCTTGCGATATCGCCCAGAACTCGATAGAAGCTGCAGTCCACTGGCATAATTGACCGTCTGTGGTGTAGTCTCGCGAGATCTCTGGATATACCCACTGCTGCTATTGTTGAAAGTCCGAAGTAGATCGCATTGCTTCTGCATATCTCGATGAGGTCTGTGGTGAGAGTCTCGGCTTCGGGCAAAACTCTTTTGAATTCCTGCCAACTCCAATAGCTGAATTCTACACCTTTGGAGGCATGTCTATATCTCTCAAACAGATCAAAAGCGGCATAACGAGGTTCCATGACCGTCTGGATTGCTGCAAAATCCTCATATGACCTGTTCCGGATCATTGTACCCCAAATCAAATCATATGACTCAACAGTGTCTGGCATGTAGAGCTGGCAAAGCTTGAGAATCTCAACTTGGCGACTTCGTGTCATCGAAGTAAAAGATGCAATGTAGACCTCGAACGGTAAACTTATAACACAATTAGCAAAACGTACCTCAAGAAAAAAAGGCGAGCTTCTCACATACGTTGCCGCTGAAATATTAACGCTAGCTTTGCACTCAGCGAATGAGCCTGGGTGCAAACCATGGCTCAAGAGCCACTTTGCAGTCTCAACAGATTCCTTCTGTAACGCAAACTGTGATAAAAGAATCAATAATCAGTTTAATGGAAGGCGACATAGGTTATTCAGAGAAGCGATTGTACTAACATGAAGCAGGTTGAACCCGTAACTGTTATGGACGCGGGGTGTTAGGCTGTTTTCGCAAAGATACTCTTGCAAAGCACTGATGTCGTCTTCCTGTAATATATCGAAAACTCTGTCTTCGAAACGATAAATAGTGGGATACACCGAGAGGAAGGATTGCCAGCCTGCAATGCTTCTTTGGACCATGGCAGAATAAACCTTCCCACCCAGCCAGTCTGGAACTCTCATAGAAAAGCTGTAGGTTTCGTCATAGTAGTCGAAGCACAGTCGACCCAGTGCTGAAGAACCCTCGAAAATGGTGTTCTTCCTTGGCTTAGCAGCCTTGACTGTAATGATTTGACTCGAACTACAGCCTCGGGAGTCCCCTGAATCGATGAAAGGGCTTTGGGTGGGTGTGGAAATGACCACGGTACTCATCGTTGGCGCGGTGAGTTGTTTGAGGATCAATCTGCCATATCGGCTGATACAATGATGTTAGCCTTCCGGTTCTCGGCAAGCATCTGCTGAAGGAAGTTTACCCGTGAGCGACGGTATTAGCAAGCTTGTAGAGTTCCAAGGCCCTGTCAAGCTTCTGCTCTACCGTTCTGAGGTCGTCTTTCTGGATGACGAATTTGGCAGCTGCGAGTCTCCGTTTGTAGCGCCGCCTGTTGGCGAGTTCTTCTGTGTATGCGTCAATCGTGTCCTGGACATCGTTCTTGGCGGCGCGGGCTCGGTTAATGGCGTTCCAAATAGCAGTTGGCGTGGAATCTTCTGCGGCATCTTGTTCTGCTAGGTCTAGAAGCTCTTCGAGATCTTGTAGATATTCTGCTTTTTGAAGGAGGGCGACCGGGACATCTTTGACCTCCTCCCAGAGCGCTTTGAGCTTGATTGTGAGAGAGATTGTCTTTCCAGCGAGGTCAGCAACAGCTATGATGCTGGAAGCAAGACCCAAGGCCTCCGCCATGGCGCTGAACAGACCAGGTTGACGATGGAAGGAGGAAGAAAGACGCAGGTTCGGATCTCGGGCGAATATTGAGGGAAAAGGTGCGCAGCCTGATCTCATGTTGAAGTGGGTTGGGCGGGGACTTGTAGGGTGTCAGCACAGCTGAGATTGGCCTGGCGGCAGGGAAGTTCTGGTCGTCGAACAGTTGCGCATATGCTGATTGTCTATTGGTTCAGGCTGCATGTTGGTCCTGTGAAGCCACTGCACGAAGTCGTATCCGCTCAGAGAGGCCCACGTAGTCAACGCAAACCCATTCTCCTGGATCGGGATCAAGACACTACTAAAGCAGTAAGCGACCTGGAGTGGATATGGAAAACCTCGGTATGGCGGCAACGAAAAGCAATTTCACCGTCTGGAGAGACGGATGCTCACCCATTGGGGACTCGGAACGAGGTTTGATTTTCTGAGCAGGGTTGGTCTTGGCAATAGAAGGCAGTGCCCTGCGCCCCATGTCGGCGGCTGCACAAGGCTACCTGCATGGCTTTCTTGTGCGCTCCTTGCATTTCGCGGTCACCGGGCTCGCCGAGTGGTGGCCAAGCTCTTTTGCGAGCCGTCTCGCCGAGCCAGTGGTTGAATGCAATGCGTCTTGTATTTCTTCAATCGTGGTATTCCCCGGTATCATATGATGTATATACTAAACGCCGAATCAATAGCAGCCTGTCATCCACAACGCCATGCCTTGCAAAGCAACCCAGCCTTAAATCCAAACGATTACCGCTCAGAACATTCGCATCGATGATGTAGCCCAAGCAGGCGTGCTCCCCGTCACCCATGACTTGCTGCCAGAGCAGTGTAAACATCTTCTATGCTCCCCAAGGTTTGTGATAGAGCATTGCGAGCAGACATGCTTTCCACAGGCGCCGCAAGCTTTGTCTCCTTCGCACCCGTCGATGTCCATGCCGTCGGCATCCGCTGACCCAAGCCCGGCACCGCAGTCCTCGCAGCTCGTGGGGCTCAACGCTCTCTGATGCACTGGTGGGCTGGCTGTCCTTGATACGGGAGGTTGCGCGGACTTGATGTTCCAGAAGCTGTGTAGAGACTTTTGTGTATTGCGTGCGGTGACGGCAGGAACGGGGGCAGGTGATAGTGATGATTCGATTTCCATGTGTTGATCTTGTTGTTGGGCGGAGTAAAGCATATTCAATGTGCGTTCTATGATGCGATTGATGGTTAGTGCATCGTCTCGCAGTCGTAGCGTCATTGAGTCTACTCACGATGAACCTCCTCCTGCGAAGGGCGGTTGTCGCGGAACCGCTTCCTCGTTCGGCTGTCGAGATGTGATGGTGTCGCGAATGCGCGAGGGAAGGCCAGGCTGGGAGAGATTGGGAAGTCGAAAGACTCGACGCTGGAGTCGGAGCGGGCGGGGGAGTTGAAGAGCGTGACGAGCTCGGAGGCGGAGCGCTTGCGCTTAAGGGCCATTGTGTCGATTTGGGGAGAGTTGGAAGATAGCGGTGGAATCGATAAACACTGCGGCGCAATTACTGTGAAGACGAATTGACGATGTTTGTGTCTATCGGCTGTGGGTGTGTTGGACGGACAGGGTGAGATTCACGGCGCTAAGAAATGGAATGCGCATTGGACGGTCTGGTGCGACAGGCCTGGCGCGGCGCGTCCTGCTTTCGCGTTGCGGTCGCGACAGGACCCGCTGGGTGTTTAATGGGCCCACAGTGGCTTCCTCGACATGGGCTGAAAGGGCTGAAGTCGCGCTGGAATTTGATGCACATCATCGCGAACGCCACTTTTTTTGGTCTTGAATGTTTCTTGTTTCACACACGGTGGAATTTGAGGGGCAATGGCTCGATCTTGATCATCTTGATGGCTTGTTTCTGACCGCCGGCGTCAATACCCCCGCCGGGTCCGGACCCGACATGTCTCCACTCGCCCGCCGGCCCCGGGATCGCTCGGACCATGGTCGCTGTCTTGGATTGTTCTGTGCCAGTCTTACGAAATCAAACCACCCAAGAAATTCAAGAACGATCAAAAAGCATCATCGTAAAGTTAACTGTGACTTATTTGAGAAATAACGCTCTCACCTTTTTCCGACGAACAGCTGCGACGGAGTGCCGTTGTCAGTTGAATCATCGATCGCCGGGACTTGAGCGCACCCAAAGTCCGTCAGAACAGACTACATCAGGTATTGTGGTTCAGTAAAATCCAGGAACAAAATGGATTAAGTTACGCCAAGATCACAAAGGACCTGATGAGATGAACGGCCCAGACGGCGGAGGACTTGATTCGTAAAACTGGCCGGCGGGATGAACTAGTTCGGCTCTCAGTGCCTGGATTCGCCGTCGAATGGAGCACCTCTGTAGATTGACCCATAGCGATCGCCGGGAACTCATGTATGTCAAGGGTTGCATTGGAGGTTCGGACAAATCGCTTTGTCCTTCGGCCGTTGACAAATGAATCATCGGCGCCTGGAGTGTAACTCGGCGCCGACAGTCGATGCCGTCTGCTATCTTAGACGCTTCCAATGGGTATAAGAGATGAATACATGAGGCCATAGAGGGAGCATGAAGACATCAGAAGCAGGCAGGCACCCAAAAAAGGTTCGCTCTTTGTTCAACATCACAATATGAAGTTCATCTCTCTCGTCGCGGCGCCCCTCGCGCTCCTCTGTGGAGGTATGTCTTCTCTATAATCATTGAGAATGATTGACCTAACAGTCTTAGTCGCTTCGTCATCTCCTCTGACCTCTCGAAACGAATCCAAGATCTTCGTTGGGCAGGTCACCGACACCTTCAACGCCTCTGTCGGGACCATTTGGGGAATCTACTCAGCCTTCGGAGCCGCCCAGCTGTACATGAAGAACGTCACCTTCAACGAGCTCACCGGCTTCGGACCCGGCGCTGTCCGAGACATTACCCTAGCCGGACAATTCGCTCGCGAGCGACTGGACTGGGTCGATGCTGACAAACACTCCCTGGCTTATACGCTTTACGAAGCTCCTGGCTTGCCTGCGGTCAACATTCAGGGCACGATTGAGTTGAACGACATCGGGAACAACAACACTGAGATTATGTGGACCGCGAGAGCGGATGCGATTACTGCAGGTGCTGAAGATGGTATTAAGGCTAGGGTGCTGGACATTTATACCAGCTCTATCGCGATTGTGAAGGGGCTTGTCTAGATCGTCGACGGGCAGTAAAGCAAGGATTAGTCCTTCACCCTAATCAGTAGCCTACCAAGGCCACCCTTCCCGGTGTCGACCTTGACGCACTCTTCCCGGATAGACTCGATATCAGATAGTTCCACCGTACGAAAGACCGCTTTCACCTTCCCGGTAGCAATCATCTCACCAGCTCTCTCTAAGTCTTCTCTGATCTCTGGATTACCCGACACGAATTCGTGTTGGATGTTCGTCCCTCTGAACTTGAAAGCGTACCACCACTGAACCAGGTCCAACATCCAAGCCAGCCAGAGCGGGACCATGCCAGGCCCCATGATCTCCCTCACCAAAGGTGATGGAGGAATCGAGGCAATGGACATGATGACGCCTGTCTTGGGTTTGAGAAGGGGTATCGCTGGGTTCATGCTGTCCCATTGCGTGTTGAACATGAAATCAACACTGCCCTTGGGAGTGACGTCTGTCAAGTTCGTCGTCTTGTAGTCGATAAGTTGGTCTACCATCCCGGGAAGATACTCTTCAACAAGCTTCAGCTTTGGTGTCGAGACTGTGGAGATGATTTTCGCTGCACCGAACACGTTTTTGGCCACTTGGATCCCGCTGAAGCCCCCTCCGCTCAAGGCAGCCGGGACGTACACGGTCTTTCCCTCCAGGCTGTCCCAACCGGCTAATTCAAGACCGCGCTTGATGGTTTGGTACGCCGTCACAGTGTACCCAGGAAGTGCGGCAGCTTCTTCAAAGCTTATCTGCGGCGGTTTTGGGAGAAGCAGCCTCTCCTGTGTGATTGCGTATTCGGAGCAGAAACCTGGGTCTGGATTGCTGAAGGCGGGGCGGACGACGCCGTGTCCGTAGACTGCATCGCCGACTTTGAAGCGCTTGACTTCTGGACCGACCACAACAACGATACCAGCGCCCTCACAGCCTAGTTTCACGGGAAATCTAGCGAATGGTCAGTCATTCCTTGATCAAAATGGGTTGCAGTGGGTACATGAGCACACACGTTTCTTTCCGCGATGCTACAATCCGAGATCCCACAGCCCGTTGGCAATCGCCCTTCATAATCGCTCCGGCATGCACCCGAATTATCACCTCCGTAGGATTCGTTATCGTCGGGAGGGGCACTTCGGCCACCTCGAAGCCGGCGGGGGTGCAATGCTGCAGCGCCACTAGGGAGCGCATCGTTTGGGGAAGGTCGCTCATGGTTGTCATGCTACAGAAAATACTGAGACAAGGAGGGAGGAAAAGCTTAGTGCAGCCGGGAACTCTGTGGCTTTTAATGCGCACATCCGGCCCGGCTGTTTGGAAAGTTCGGTCGGCGGTTCGGTGGGGCTGTTCGGCGGTTTCGGTGGCATGGCCCCACTAACGACGCCGAACCTACGGCCGGTTGGACTTACAATCTGCTCCAAACGCCTGCGTTCTGCACAGGCTCAATCTTACTTGCACCAAGATTGATCAGTTTCAAGATTCTCAAAAAAAATTTGGTCGACTGCCAACGATGCGTCGATCCTGGAGACACCAGCCTCCCGATGGGATGTCGCCCTTTAGTCGGCTTTGGTGGCGGGCTGAGTCAAGGGGCCTTTCTCGCCCTGGGAAACCGGAGGAGGGGCACGCTGGTCGGAATAGTTGAGTTGGAAGAACCGTCGTCTCAAACCCAGAATCTTGGAAACTGCTAGTTTTAGCTTGTCGAGGGAGAAATATTTCTGCAGCATTTCTTTTCCCAGGCTGCGCCGCCAATGCCAGGACCGCAGGAGAAGGTGCAGTCGCGATGGAGGGGTGCTCTTTCCTCTCGGCAAGTGCGGTGGGAGCGCGACTTCCATTTGGTATTTAGAGAAAG